CTGCATGCAGACACATACAGTTCACGTTCCCTCTGTTCGAGGCTGGGCAGCCCATGCCGCGTGCCTGATGCCTCGTCTTCTTGCTACCAGCCGCCTTCCAAAGGAAACATGTTGGCTCCTTGGAACATTCGTCTGTCTTGTGTCCCGACTCTCCGCATTTGATGTAGCAGACACTCCTATCCACCGGGGTCTTGCAGTGGATCGCAATGTGCCCGGTTTCCAGGCATCTGAAGCACCTCGGTGAACCAGATCTTTCCCGGACCCTACAGGTTGACCATCCGATTCCCACCTTTCCACGCTGCAGGACTGTCTTGCCCAGTGGGACGGGCAGTTTGACCACCGCCAGCTGCGTCTCTGAGCGGCCACGGCTCATGCTACGGACACTCACCCGTTCTGCCTCAAAATTAAATTGGGCGGCAATAGCGGAGCAGACCTCTTTCTTCGAGGTGATGGAGTCGATGTTCCGTACCTCCAGAACCAAAACTTTCGTGTCCTCTGTCGACGCTCGCACAGTAGCGGAGTCACTCTTAACGCTCCCTTTGGCCACCTCTAGGAGCAGGTTGTCGTTGTTGGTGCGCCAAACCTTGGAGACACAAGCACGTCAGTGTATATGTACGAAAATGTGTGTGACAAAGCGAACTTTTCGCAATTTGGAATTAATGTTTTGATTTACTTTTACAGATCGCTTTAATAGCAGTTTATCATACGATACGGAATACGCAGGTACTTAAGGGGTTATATACAGTTGTACCGCGCAAAAATATTAAGTTTTGTCGATTTTTTTTTGACACCATAAAGAATATTTATTAAAAATGTAGACGATTGATTTGTAAAAATTTTGATTTAAAAAAAAATGGCGACGAATTTTAACAAAAAATTTACTTTTTCAAGGTATACGATTTTCGAGTTTTATGCTCTAAACAAGAAAGGAAGCTAACTTCGGCACGCCGAAGTTTGTATACCCTTCCAGATATTATTTCATTAAATTTTACCTATACTTATTGTTTAGAGTTTGACAGTTACAGTTTTACATTCCCAGTTTTACATTTTCTCTACATCTACCGATCGGTTTATATGGCAGCTATAGTTGTCCGATTTTCATAAAATTTATACCAAAATTCTGAACTAATAAAATAAGCTTATACCTCAAAGTAGATAAAAATAGGTTGAAAAACGACGAAGTTATAATGTTTTTATACTCTTGCAGGGTATTATAATTTCAGTCAGAAGTTTGCAACGCAGTGAAGGAGACGTTTCCGACCCTATAAAATATATATATTCTTGATCAGCATCAACAGCCGAGTCGATCTAGCCATGTCCGTCTGTCCGTTTCTACGCAAACTAGTCCCTCAGTTTTGAAGCTATCTGAATTAGAGGTTTACGCCGATGGTTAAAGGCATCGGCGGCGGCGTAGAGGTCAAAATGACTCGGCGGCGGCGGCGTAGTAGTCAGAAAGAACCGGCGGCGGCGGCGCGTCAAATAAGGCAAAAAGGCCATTTTAATGAGTTATTTTTTTTTTTAAGTTTTATAAAGAACAATGACACTGAAGGCCGCGCTGAAGCTGCCGATGCCGCACCAGCGGCGCGCCGCGGCGCGCCGTTATTTTCATAATTTGGCGGCGGCGCGTCAAATAAGGCAAAATCCGGCGGCGGCGGGCGCGGCGGCGTATATGTCTAATCTGAATGAAACTTTGCATATAGTCTTCTATATACTCTCACTGCTATATATGTCGGAACGGGCCGGATCGGACGACTATATCATATAGCTGCCATACAAATGTTCGAAAAATTTTTAGAAAATAAAATATAACTTGGGTGTTTTTAATTATTTTTGCATTATTTTTTAAATATAGTCATTTTATATTATTCCAGGATTTTGGTAAAAATTTTATGAAAATCGGACCACTATATCTTATAGCTCCCATAGGAACGATCACTGCGTTGCAAACTTCTGACTGTAATTATAATACCCTGCAAGGGTATAAAAAGAAAGTTTTCTAAAAAAAATGGAAAATTCTTCGTTAGAGGACTAGCTATTATTATAATAAATAAGTGGTCAAAATTTGGTGTTGATCAGATTAATAGTTTTTTAGTAATCGTGTCCACCGCAAAGGTAATTTCGAAAAAACAAGATTCTGAGATAATCGCTTTTAAAGGTTTAAGTTTCTTTAAGCCGATGTGCAGGTAGTGCGCTATAAATAGCTACAACTTGGGTTCTAATACTCCGATCGTTATGAGTTTTTGTGAGAGTATTCTTAACAGTATATACTTGAAGAATATGCAATAAAAAAAATCGATTTTTTACCTATCACAACTGTATATAAACCCTTAAACTTTAAGGCTTAAAGTGTTTATAAATAAAACCAAGAAATGTATATTAATTGTTTTGTTTGATAGGTAAAAACAACAGCGGAGCGAAACAAAAGGTACTCAAAAGGTTCTGTTTAAAAATGCTCTATCCAAATTTCTCAGAGTCACTTCTGGCGTCCTACAGGGAAGCCACCTCGGCCCGCTGCTATTTACATTGTTTATCAATGACCTCCCGCTGGTTCTAACGAATTCTAGAGTACTTATGTACGCTGATGACGTTAAGCTATGCTTGCAGTATAAGGACAGCTCTTGCCAGTCAGACCTGCAATCGGATCTTAATAACTTTCAAGCATGGTGTCGTGCTAATTTATTACATCTCAATAGCTCTAAATGCAAGCTGATGACATTTTCACGTGTCACTCCCCAGTTTGCCACTTATACGCTAAATGATTGCGCTCTTGAAAGAATATCTCTTGTTGATGATTTAGGCGTTCGCTTAGACCCTAAACTTTCGTTCTCTGAACATATTTCGTGCATGGTTAATAAAGCCAAAGGCATGCTCGGTTTCATTAAGAGGTGGTCGAAGGAATTCGATTCCCCTTATATAACGAAGACCCTTTTTACTTCATTAGTTCGCCCTATATTGGAGTATGGTTCATGCGTCTGGAGTCCTCAATTCGGAATCCATATTAACCGTATTGAATCTGTACAAAATAACTTTTTACTTTTCGCCCTCCGTGGCCTACCTTGGGATGCTGATGAGAGGCTACCGTCCTATTCAAGTAGACTCCTATTAATTAACTTACCCTCCCTAGCTAACCGTAAAACGATGCTTGGTGTCGTATTCCTCCATAACCTAATAAACGGTGATGTTGAGAGCCCTTTTCTCTTAGGGCAGCTCAATTTCCACGTTCCCCGACTAACATCTAGAACCCTTATCCCTTTAGTAGTAAATCACTGTAGGCGGGAGTTTGAAGTGCATGAACCCTTTAGGGTTTTATGTACGGATTACAACCGCCTCTCTGACATTGTAATTCGTAGCGATAGCCCTTCTGTACTAAAAACTTTAATACTTGTTGAGTTAGCTCGTAGTGTATCACCGTAGTCTAATGTTGCATGCGTTCTTATTTATTTATCGTAGTTATTATTTAGTTACATTATATTATTTTGTTTTTTATATTTACTTTGCATGCGTTTTTATTTATTCATCGTAGTTATTATTTAGTTACATTATTTTATATTTTTTATATTTATTTTGCATGCGTTATTACTTAATTATTACTATTTTTATTATATTATATTTTTTGTTCCCCTTATTAAATTTTGTTTGTTGCAACGTTTCCTCGTTCTTTTCTTCCTTCATTCACCGCGTCTATCTAGTTCGCGATTCGTGCCGTACGCCACACGGCTGCGCCCCTCGGTCGGTTGGGCGGGAGGTGGAAGCGGGACCCCGCGCGAAAAAAAAAAAAAAAACCGATCGATTCTTCTTTTAGCTGTTTTGTACTGTTTTTACATAGTGCAACAACGCCTTGCAAAAACAAAAAAAAAAAACTATTGCACTTTTGCAACAAAAATTTTGTCACAATACCTTGAAAAATCGCTTCAGTGTGTCGACTAAACTGGCCATAAAATTGAAGGAGTGCACGAAACTTTTTTAACAAAGAGCTAATAATGAAATTCAATGATTTGCAAACATTTTTCGCTTGTAAGACGATTCATGGTTAAATTACAGACCAAACTGAAGATGATTGTAAGTGAAACAAAACATGAAATGAGATAAACTGCCATACAAATGTCCGATAAATTTTTAGAAAATAAATTATAACTTGGCAGTTTTTCAAAATTTTTGCATCATTTTTGAGATATGGCAAATTTATATTATTTCAGATTTTCGGTTTTAATTTTATGAAAATCGGACCACTATATCTTATAGCTGCCATAGGAACGATAGGGAAAGTAATAGAAAAAATTATAACTTCGTTGTTTTTCAACGAATTTTCATCTTCTTTGAGATAAGAGCTTTTAGTATTACTTCAGAATTTTGGTAACAATATTATGAAAATCGGACAACTATTTCATATAGCTGCCATAGAAGCGATCCGTAGATGTAGAGAAAATGTAAAGCTGGGAATGTAAAATTGTAACTGTCAAACTTTAAACATATTAGGTATAGGTAAAATGTTATGAAACTCTGTTTAGTGTCTGTTTTCGGCATTATAATTTATAATATAAATATCAAAACCAATCTGCAAGGGTATACAAACTTTGGCGTGCCGGAGTTAGTTTCCTTTCTTGTTTTTCATCTGTTTTCCATAAACTCTTACTAATTCACACGTTTCTCGGGAACAATAAAAACAAGAAAAAAACAATATAGCAGGGCAATCCCCGTTGGACCCCCTTCGGGTCCGACTCGGCTTTATTTCGACCTTTTATCCGTAGAAGTGAGATGTTCCTTTTTCTTCTTTCACTTTCAAATAGTCACCACTTGCAGTACTTCTGCCCCGTTCTGATTCCGCTATCTGTAATGCAGATGGCGCTAGCTAATTACCCTGAACTAGATGACGCTTACCGAGTCTCAAGCGTTACATGTAGATATTTCGGTTGCCTGAATTTAGTTAAATTTCTTGTTTTTAAACTAGTTATATTATTTGTTATTTTTAGTTAAATATATTTATTATTTTTAATACTAACCCGTCAAATTCATCGTGATTGTGTTTTAGCTTTAAATTTTTAGTTATAGTGGTTTCACTTGGGGGGAGATATTGTATTATCCGTGTTACTGGTTTTTTCTGTACAGTATTTAAAAAGTCATAAATTTCCGTCAGATCCTTTGGTACTTGGCAAGCTGATTTTACAGGTTCTCTTAACAGCGTATTACACTTAGTCCATTCCGAAATATTACCATTACATATATAACCAGACTTATTGAATGTAAACTGAGAACTTTTGCATTCGACGCAAGGTTGAATTGCACCAAAAGCCAATAAGTCCGCAGCTTGATCAAATAATCTTTCAGAGTCACCTAATAAAGGTTGCTGATTATTCCAAATCAAAAGTCTGCTGATGTCTGATTTTTTCATTCGACTTTTAAGTTCATCGCGAAATGTAAAAAATAGATCGTTTTGTTTTTTTATTTCCGTTATTTTTTCTTTTTCTTCAGAATCATTGATTTTTTCTGTTTTTGTTTTTTTTGGTTCTGGTATTCCATTAGATTCCATTAACCTATAGGAAAAATATAAAAATAAATATTAATTTAATATGACACTCTTTAAATTAGTCAAATGTAATTTGGTTTCACATATTTTTATTATTTTATAATTATTAAAGTTCTTATCTCTTTATTTATATTTCCTGATCGGGATACGCTTCTAACACTGAAACCATCTTTAACTGAAATATATTTTAAAGTGCATACACGAACTTTTTTGGATTCTAAGCTGTCTTAAGTTTTTGGTATTAATCTTGGCGGGTAAATCTTGGAGTACAATTTTTTACTGTGTAATTTGTATTGAAAATTGTTCTTGCATTTTTTTTTTGATAATTAATTTTTGAAGAAAAAATTAGACAATAATATATATATTTTTGTCTCAAAGGCTTAATAAAAACCGTAATTGATCGTCTGAACAAATTACTTCGAAAACGACCCTCAGTTTTTCAACAACAAAACCTTGTTGATCTGTAAAATATTTTGATTGACATGATTGTGTTATAAGCTGCGTTTTGGGATCCAAAACATAACCTCGTCAGGAACACCGTCTGCTTGGCTGTCCTAGTCGCAACATTCACAATTAAAAAAAGACTGCTTTAGCAGTTTCACCCACACATTCTCAAACCTAATTTTTCAATCATGGCTAAGTAGGCAAAACTTTTTACCTATTCCGTAAAGATAATATTCATTTTTACACAGTCTTATTATACCCTTGCAGGGTATTATAATTTCAGTCAGAAGTTTGCAACGCAGTGAAGGAGACGTTTCCAACCCTATAAAGTATATATATTTATGATCAGCATCAACAGCCGAGTCGATCTAGCCATGTCCGTCTGTCCGTCCGTCCGTCTGTCCGTCTGTCCGTTTCTACGCAAACTAGTCCCTCAGTTTTAAAGCTATCTGAATGAAACTTTGCATATAGTCTTCTATATACTCTCACTGCTATATATGTCGGAACGGGCCGGATCGGACGACTATATCATATAGCTGCCATACAAATGTTCGATAAATTTTTAGAAAAAAAATTATAACTTTGCTGTTTTTCAACATTTTTGCACCTTTAGATATGGCCATTTTATATTATTTCAGAATTTTGGTAAAAATTTTATGAAAATCGGACGACTATTTCTTATAGCTGCCATAGGAACGATCGGGAAATTAATAGGAAAAGAACTATAACTTCGTAGTTTTTCAACGTTTTTTCATCTACTCCGGGATATAAGCTTATTTTATTATTCTAGAATTTTGGTATAAATTTCATAAAAATCGAACAACTATATCATATAGCTGCCATATAAACCGATCGGTAGATGAAGAGAAAATGTAAAGCTGGGAATGTAAAACTGTAACTGTCAAACTGTAAACATAATAATATAGGTAAAATGTAATGAAACTCTGTTTATTGTCTGTTTTCGGCATTATAATTTATAATATAAATATGAAAACCAATCTGCAAGGGTATATAAACTTCGGCGAGCCGAAGTTAGCTTCCTTTCTTGTTTATTTATTGAACTATGTTTATATTTGTAATAAAAATAATACAAATGAATACTGGTTGTTTAACAAGAATAACAAAAAATAAAAATAATTCCAAAAGATAACAAAGCCTTAACTGAATAGCAAGCACATTCTATAGGAACTTCATATTCTGACGATTTTTTGGAAGAATTAATTATTTTTAAAATGTAATTAAAGAATTATAAGCTTTCTTGCCATATTTTCGTAAAATTAGTAATGAGTGGATCCACCACGATTATGGATGACTTCAAATATCCTGCTGGGTAAAGAGTCGTACTGTTGGAATACCCCTATTCCACATGCAGAAATACCATAACGCATTAGCACTTTGGTATAATTAAAACTCTAGCTTTGGTCACACTTTATTGTTCTCTTCCCTCTTGCTTGTTGAGCGTGCTTGGTGTGGTGTTGCGGTAAAACTAAAATAATTCAAATAACGAAATCAAAACTACTTCTTTTGTTATTATTTAAACTAATAAAACAACACGTACAAACTCTTAAGAGGGTATCCTGAATTACAAGGTCAAAAAAATCGATTTTTTTTATTGCTTAAATCGATAGATAAACTATCTAGGAATACACCACAAATTTCAGAAGCCAATTCGAAGTATTTTCGCAGATAGAGATGAAAGCACAGGAGCGCCGAGCAGGTTTGCGAGCGCTTGGGCGAACTTTGAAGCGCGTTTTCTCCATTTTTCATTTTTACGATTCTTTCGAATTGGCGGGAAAGATAACAAAAAAACTTATTGACCGATTGAAACGAATACGGGCTTATTCTCTTTAAATTTAAATTCTCTTCTAGTTGAACTAAAACGGTTGTTGAAAACAGCTTTTTTATATTTTTTACAGCATGTTAAAGTCAATATTTTATCCCGAAAAATGCATTTTTTTTTTTAAATCGGAATAAAAGTTCCGATTTCACGATTTTCTCAGGTTTTCCTTTGTTCAACTAGAAAATGCACTTATAAAAATTGAAAATATTTTTGAATTTTTTGTTTCAGACAAGAATTACGAGCTGCACATTTCCCGCCAATTAGGGACTGCTGCGACGAGGCGCTTCAGTGAACTACTTAAAAGTCCGCCATTTTGAAATATTATTATTATTTTATTTTTTTAAATTTATTTAAGCACTTTAAATATGTGTAAAAATATACCAAAAATTGCAAGAAGCTTGGTCGTTTCTTTTACCTTCCAAAAAAAAAAACGCGAAAAACAACTAATTTTTGGCCTCCGAATTCAGGATACCCCCTTAAGGTAGTCCAGGGAAATTGTTGACCAGGCCGCTCGCATTAATGAGATCATTCTTATTATCATACTGCTTTCTGGACTCATAGACCTTTCTTGCTAACCATTCCCAAACACTTTCGATCATATTTAATTCGGGCGAATAAGGTGGCCAATATTGTAATATTGACACGTTTACCTTATCAAGCCATGATTTTACGATCCTTGTCGTGTGTATTGGGGCATTGTCTTGCTGAAACTTCCATTCCAGGTTTCCAAAAAAGTTTTTGCCTCAGGCAGGGCTTTCTCTAGAACTCCTTTATATGCTGTTGCATTCATTCTTGATGTTAAGAATTTCAGTTGGAATGTGACCTAGTAGGAAATCGCTCGCCATACCATACACCACCTTCTCGTCTGTGCATTTTTTTAAGAATGTGTTCCTCTTTACGCAAATTATGAAAATAAAAGGTCTATACATCGGGCCCTTCAAGGTTAAACTTTTTCGTCAAAAAAAACGACTCGATACCACTCCCGATTGAGAGACATGTTAGCTCGGCAAAATACAAGGCGTTGGGCCTTTCGAGATGCCTTTAATGGTGGTTTTTTTGTAATTTACGATGCTTTAAATATTCTGCTTTAGAAATGACGAATTAACTGTGGCCAACTGTGTGCATGCCTCAAAATAGCTCTCCTGTCCGCTGGCGTAACTCCACCGGAGGTTCGTCCTTTCATGTTTTTTCCATAATTCTGGGGATTCTTCAAATAGTTCATTTTAACTTTGCGACTTTGGTTTGTTCTTTTTGCTATTTCTTGTAAAGAAAGGCCAACCTCCTTAAAAGCTTTGATTTTTCCTTTTTCTTCGACGTTCAACGGTTTTGCACGACCCATTTTTTGTAGTTTCGATCATCTTTGATTTTATTTTATTAAACTTTATACAAATAATAATTTTTGTTTTATTTTCTCACTTTATATCGATCGCGAAATGATAATACAAGCAAATTCGCTGTTCAAGTGAGCCGAAAAATGTAGGCTTTTTTAGTTAAGGGGGGTAAGGTATTTAATTTTTTTATCGTAAATTTATTTGTATTTTTTATTTTAAAGTCCCAATATCTTAAGAATATTGTGTCCAAGTTTTACATCGATCATAGGAAAATTGACGAAGTTATGCAGAGCTGAACGAGCACCACAAAGTTTAAAGCGCTCATTGTCATTTTGAAAATCGGTGTACACGATAACTCAAAATCTACTGACCCAAACGGCTTGAAATTTGGAAAATAACTTCTTTAGAAAATTGTTCAGGTACTGACGTCGAGCTTTTTTTAATTTTATTATACTTTTTATTTAACAAATTAACTTAATTTTTTAGTCAAAAATCGGGGTTTTGACTTCAAATTTTGATACAAAATCGGGTAAAAATTTTAAAAATAAAAACGCTACGTGAATACCTCGGGACCATAGCTCGCAAATAACGGTTGACAGATTCGAGCGATCTCAAAAAAACTGTTTTTTTCCTAGCATTAGAGCGAAGATCCTAAGAGCAACCGATTAAATTGGTTTTATACAAACTTTGCTCGCGATCAGCTGACCAACAGTTTTTTCTGTTCTCTTTTGCTGTGCCCATTCACGGTACGTTTGCTCTTGAGCGAAGAGTCAAAAAACCTTTTGCGCATGTATGTGTGTATGTGAAGTTTCCTTCGAAAACGCACTTGCGTATGCGAAGTTTTATAGATTCGTCACGTCACTTTGGTTTGTAAATTTATAAATTAAGTGAAAGACGTAGTTCAACCAAAGACAATACAATTAACAAGATGCCTCACGCCCATACATTCGTTTTGCAATATGAGGCTTCATTTTTGATGGCAACGACAATCGCCTTCTAAAAATAGAATGCGTTTGCTTGTATGAGTAAACACAAGAACCCGCAAGCGCGTATGTGTGCGAGAATACGTGTGCGCCAGCGCGCAAGCACCAAAAAATCAAATTTTTATGTTTTGTGCTGGCGACCGATTTTTAGGAGGCGATGCACAGTAGCGCCTCTCGAACAATTAGCTTTGCAAAAATCGAAAAAGTCATGTTCGCAAAAACGATTTTAACTATACTTATTCGACAGAACATTTCTCAAGGATTGAGAATCTGTAATAAAATCAATTAAATTTTTTTTTTTAATTCTAAGTGTAACCGCCACAAAACCGTGAACCGTGATACTAGTGCGTGAGACGTGTTTTTGAGCTGCAAAGTTCATTTATATGGTGCCACGCGTAACAAGCTCAAA